GAATGAACTGTTGTCATTTCTACTTGACTGTTTAAATCTCCAAGTGAATCTCTAGGGAGGTAAATTGGCGCTCAATACTTGCCCATCAGAATACTTGCCCAGAAAGATAAGTGAATCTCTAACTTATCTTTTTTGGCGTCGTGCTAATCCTGGAGGACAACCGCTTCTTGTCTACTGCACCGGAAGGTAGCGCGGAATTGTCTTTTAGGTCAGTGGTTTGCCACGACACGACTACTGTCAGTTTTAGTTCACGCATCAAGAGATAAGTAATTTCTGTTTTATTGCTTATAGTATAACAGTAGTGGCACACAGGAACTTAATATCTTATTTGTAACCTGGTGATTCTATAGATTTAGGTTTCTTCTATTTTATAGATCCAGCTTACCTCGTTTTGGTATTGGGGGCATTAAGAGCTGCAACAGAAACCTGTATGTGAAGGAATACCAAATCCAACTCTGTGCAAATCTTAACCTTTTCTCTGTTCTTTCTACTGGCCTTTGCATTTTGCTTCTTGTAAAACCTGTACAATTAATATGAGGTTACAGTATCTAATTTTCTTCTGTAGTATAATAGACAACTTATTTTGTGCCGTTAGTTTTGATATTACTTTGGCTAGACATTGCTCATAATTATGCTGCAACCTTTGTTCTTTTTTATGTAAATCTGTTTGCGTGGGCGTATTTGGACAATTTGGTATAAACAGAACCCAACAGGCAATTCGCTTATGTAGCTTCATGCAATCCGAACTCTTTTTCTGCTCCTTGATATATCATTCGGCTCTATGTTCTGTTTTCTAAATCTTATTGTGGTCTGTGCTTTGGATTTCCTCTGTTACCGAGCTGCTGTCCTTGCTTTTCTAGGTTCCATGTTCTTGATTATGTTCCCTTTTTCCAGAAATGAGTTAGATGAATTGATCTTAGGTGCACTGATGAACTACAACGTTCTCTATCTTAAAATTGGAATCTTGAAGCTATTTCTTGTCAGGTACTTTCTACCAGGTTAGTTTGGCCTGTTCAATTTCCATGGACAGATGGACTGAATATCTGAATGTACTCTTTTGCATGAATAAATCAAAATATAGTGTTTATGACCGAATCACTACTTTCTTTTTCTGTTTTGATAGACACTGCATTCATCTGACTGATTCAAGAGAAGACCATTTTCATTATACATTCGTCATTGCTTGCATATCATGCATCTCACTATAAATTTAGGAATTAGTTTCGGCTATCGGATGTTAAATATTAAATGTGGCCACATCTGATGCATCTTGAACAACCATATGGATTATGTTACCCAAACTCGAGTACTTATGTTTGATACTGTTAAAAGTGGCCAAGTGTTTGCCTCTGCTATTTTATGCTTTTTGTGATTGTCCTATTATGACGTGTTCCAAGTAATAGAGAATATACAGTATGTTTAACAGCCCGCCATTTAATTGTTAACCCCGTTTTTTTCCAAATTATCAGAGAATGATGCTAGATGCCTAGAAACAATTCATTATGATCCATAGAAACCAGATTTGCTATGACTAGAGAGTAGCACGAGTTTTGAAAAAATACATGCATGTATTTGGAATTTGATTGTTGTTTCTGGTATAAACATTTAATGTTGGCTGAAGCAATATGCCAGCCACCTGAAGAGTTCTTCAAAATCGAAGGCGATGCTGGCTGTTTGGGCTTGGTTTAGTTGTGTGGACAGAACGCGGTAAGGCTTTTAGATTGTGTGCAAACAAGTTCAGTGTATGGCTAGGAACTAGCTTTGATGGAAGCGAAAGCTCCTTTGTTTGTTCTTACCAAGTGCATACTGAAATTAAGGTTTTCCTTGAAAGCATTCGCCTTCAAAAGATGCTCCATTACCACAATCTTTCTGATGGATAGCAAAAGTAATATTGAAGCTGTAGGTTTTCTGTGAATTTAAGAGGAAATCCATAGCTATTATTCAGTCCAATTTTTGGTGTGTATTTGTGTCGAGTAACCAACATGATGTATTAGACTGAATTATTCTAGCTTTTGATTGTGGCGGTAAATCCTCAATTATATGCATTCAGATGGATCACATTGTTATTGACTCAGGGATTTCAATTCACTACCATATTGAGGATTTGGGACTCCCTTTTGAGTCATTTTATCGATGTTCTGGTGTGTAGTCTCTTTCTAATTTCAATATTAAGGACTGTTTGTTATACATGCCAAATCTGAACTTTCATCCCACTATCCCTTAGTTGGATATGGATATATTTTCTTTCCCTATAAACGTGAAAGTCACTATAAAATTTAGGATTGTTCACCTTCCTCCCATTCCTCTGAGAAAGAGGAGAAAGAATGGGAAAGATCGGTTCTTGAAAATCACTATATCTACACTAGGGTGTTAGTGCTGTTACTGAGGGGTGATAAAACCAAAATTGGGTATTATTAGACTAAAAGTCGGGAACATATTTTTAAATTTGGAGGCAAGTTTAGGGACATATACTTAACTAGAATGCTGTTTCCTTTTCATCTAGGACATGCTTCTGCGAGTATGTTTTGCAATGCAAAAACACAGAGTATATTGCTTAAATGGAGATTTTGCAGCCAACTTGTATCTTCTACAACACTAGCCCAAGGTTGACATCAGATAACTTTTGCGGGAAGCACGAAATATCATTCCCGACACCTCTACCATCCATGTTTACTTAAATTAATCACCTTGTAGTCTTGTACACATGGTAAACAGAATCATCTGCGGCTTGAACTCCTTTTTTTTTAGTAATCAAACAGATATCAGCGGAGCACCAGGCCATTATCAAAAGACAACATTGATTTCTCCTGCATTATAGACTTTCATTTTCTTTCTTTCATTTTTTTTATATATATGAATTGCATTAGTTGTACGTAATTAGGGACAGACCTAGAGACTCTAGCTGTTAAATTATCTAATTGTACCCAAGTTAAATGTTAGTACTTATTAGTTAGCCTATTTATGAGTTGTTTTGCATTATATATATTGTGATTCTGTATATCTTGCATCTTTTAGTGCTTTGTGACTTGATGTACTTTGATTTTTTCTTGAATGTGTAATAGGATTTTTTACGAAACTAAGCTTAATTGGCAAACAATTTACGAATATAGACGCGTGGCCAAACCATTTACGAAGCTGAGTTTCTGAGGTAAAACGCTGTCCGAGTCAGCGTTTTACCCTTGTTATTATTATTTTTTTAAAAAAATTTCGTATTTTGTGAAATACAAATTTTAAAAAAAAAACTGGAAATACACAAAAACGCTGACTGAGTCAGCGTTTTTTGTATAGGCATAACAGGCCTTAAAACGCTGCCTCAGGCAGTGTTTCATTAACAAAGGAAAGACGCTGCCTCAGGCAGCAGTTTTAGCTGGTATATTGCTCCAAAAAAACGTGACAATATTCACTCTTCTTCAATACTCAAACTATCTCAAACGGTTTTTCCCTCATTGCAGTTGTCGTCCCTGCCACCGGAAAGCCCGCTGCCGCCTACAGCCGCCGCCGCCTTGTTGGTACTCTCTCTCAAACTCTCCTCTTCATTTTAATGACATTGTTGGTACTTCTCACTCATTGGTTTTTAAAATCTAAAAACCTAGGTTAGTTTGATAATTATATACTACATTGTTATAGTTTGATAATGTTGTTGATTATTCTAAGTTAGTTTGATGTAAATTGATAATTATGTTGATAATTCTAAGTTTGTTTGTTGTAATTTGATAATAGTTTAGTTTAAAAGCCCTAATTTGATGTTAGTTTAGTATGAAAGTTTTTGATGAAATTGTGGAAATTATTGATAAAATTGTTGAAAATGTTGATGAAATTGTTGTTTTAATTTGATAAAGTAGCCTACATTGTTGTTTAATTACGAAAAATATGTTATGTAGAATATGTTGGTTGTTATAGTGTGAATATGTTCGTTGTGTACTTTGTTTTGGTTGTTATGTGAATTGGAACAATGTTGGTTCATTATGTTTATAGTGTGAATATCTTGGTTGTTATAGTGCGAATTGGTGGAGATTGCATGCAATTAAGATGTGTTTTTGGTTGTTGTATAGAATATGGCTGCACAAAACGCAGCTTTGTTATGCCGGTGGGGGGGGTGAATTTGTGTCTAATGGACCGAATGTCCAGTATAGTGGTGGAAATATGGGACCATTGCCACTTGGACCGGACATGACTTTCAACGATCTGATGAACGAGGTTCATAGCATTGTTGGCTTAAACCCAATGAATGTACAACTTAACATTCAAATGAGGTTTGAGACTAATAATGCGGTTCAAGTGTTACCTTGTTCTAACGATAGACATTCAAAAGCTTTAAGGAGCGATGTTTTAATGAGGGGTTATCCACATGAGATATATGTAGAAATAGTGTCTACATGTACGCAATAAATTACTCGACCAGATCAACAAGCTACCTATTTTTCCGGATACACAGAGTCCTTCCGAATGCCCTCACAAGACATTCCATCAACTGAATATGGGATAGGGTCCTTCAGTAGACTGTTTCATGACGATCGGTTCCAAATTCCGTTGAGTTCACATATAGCTTCACCTGTATATGGTGGACCATCTACGACAATGTTTGGTCAATCTGGGCCTTCGACATCGAACACATTTACATTTTCTCCCATGCAACTCCAAAGTTATTCACCTACGCAGCATGATGATCATACATCACCGTCTCAACCATTGGTGAATCATCTTAAAAATCTACAGCATATGGTGAATAACGAGTTGTCTCTGTATGATGCGCTCTGGGAAACAAATGATGAGGATGAGAGCGAAGAGGAGGAACATGGACTGGATAACATGGATGTTGATTCTGCAGACATGGAAGGTGGGGAGGCCATGTTTAGAACTCCTATTCCTTGGTTAAGTCAAGTAAATGAGAATTATGAGGTTGATCAATATTGGGCCGAATCAGGTGTCATACAACATTTGTGATTGGGGGAGAGTTTGAGAAGGGTATGTTCTTTGAATCTAAGAAACTGCTTCAGGAAATGGTGAAGAAGTATTCTATACAAAGGAACCAATTCTACACCACAATGACCTCGAATGAGAAGGTCCTTCATCTGCGGTGCAAGAAGAATTGTGGTTGGTCGCTACAAGGTACTAAAAAAAGTGAGCACTCAGACGGCTTTACCATAGTCACATACAAAGGCCCGCACCGGGAGACCTGTTTCACTGAAGTGTTATCTACAAATCATGCACACTTGGATTCATCCATAATTTCCGATTTTGTGAAGTCTTTTGTGCAAAAAGATCCATGCTTGAAAGTTGAATTTATACAGGAACTCATATCCAAGCATTTTCAGTTCGACGTTAGTTATCGAAGAGCATGGTATGCTAGGGAGAAAGCCATAGCTGAAGTATTTGGAGATTGGGAGAGTTCTTATGGCAGACTTCTGCACTTCATGGAAGCACTCAAACAGTCAAACCCGGGAACTGTTGTTGTATGGAAACACAAAGCTCTGGTAGACGGTGTTTATTACAGCAACATTGAAGTGTTTGAACGAGTATTTTGGGCCTTCAGCCCTTGTGTTGAAGGTTTTAAACATTGTATGTCTGTCATCTGTATCGATGGGACGCATTTGTACGGGAAATTTAAAGGAACATTGTTGGTTGCTACAAGTGTGGATGCAAATTTCCAAGTATTTTCGCTTGCATTTGGGTTAGTCGAAGGGGAAAACACTTCCAATTGGTCTTGGTTTCTGGCTGCATTCGGGTTCATGTCACTCAACGAGATGGCCTCTGTGTTATATCTGATCGACATGATGGGATCATTGCAGCAATGAATCACCCTAACGTTGGATTCACCGAGCCGCGAGCCTATCACAGGTTTTGTGTTCGGCACTTGGCTTCTAACTTGAAGACTCACGTGCGAAGAAACGACATGAGAGATATGTTCAAGGCCGCTGCGTACCAAAGGCAGGAAAGAAAACTGCAAGCTGATTTGAGTTTGATCGGTCAGGCATGTACCAAGGCCATACAGTATATTGTCCAAGTGCCCTTGCCTATGTGGTCTTTGTTTCACGACGCTGGTCGCAGATATGGGATATGTACTACGAACTTCTCAGAAACATCTAACAATGTGTTGAAGGGTGCTCGATTTCTACCTATCATGTCCCTTGTTGAGTTAACATTCCACAGAGTGAATAAGTATTTCACTGATAGAAGGGAATTATCTCAGGCTAGATCTGAACAGGGACTTGCATACCCCCCCGAAGTCACTTCCACTATAGAGAAAAACATCGCAAAGGCTAGATATCACAAAGTGGAAGCGTATAACCATCGACTGCATATATATCAAGTTGAAACAAAGAGGGGAGATAGAATTGGTAGAAAAGGAGGCCATAGACATACTGTTAACTTTCAGTTAAGAACGTGTACATGCAATAAACCACGGATCTTCCACCTCCCATGTTCTCATGTTCTAACAGTTTGTGCGAAGTATTCGATATCAGAGCGCCGATGGGTGGACCGGGTACTGCAATCAGAGGCCTACGCAAACACATACGCTCCCTAATTCTGGCCTATCCCTTGTGAGACGGCATGGAGAGAGTATGGAGGCCCTAAACTCATTCCCGACAACAGCATGGTACGAGGACAAGGTTGCCCTAAGTCAAGGCGCATACGCAATGAAATGGATGAGACCAACCGTCCCGCGAGCAAATGCAGCCTCTGTCACCAGCAGGGTCACAACAAGAGATCATGTCCATCTAGATCGACCGGGCACTAAGATTTTTTTTTTATCTAGAATGATGTAGTAGAATAGTACGGTGATTGTATTTCTGCATTTCAAATGATTGTAACAGTTGGAGTATTTTTAGATTGAAGTATGAGATTTGAAATTCTGTATTTTGTTATCGCTTGTCTGTAATTGTTACTTTTTAATTGTTGGATTATAACTGTTAATGAACAGATACCATGGACACTCGAGATAGCACACCCGGACCCACCGACCCTTCTGTCCTTACATTACAGGACACACATCGTAGCGTTGACATTTGGACTCAGTCGGTTGATCCAGCGGGCATACTGACATGCAGGCACTACACTGTCGCGTTCCTTGGGGATTGGGTTATCGATCCTCGCATTCTGCCTTTCGTGGAGTACGCTAGCTTCATGGGTATACATCGGATGGCGTTCAGAGATGTTGACCCAGCGCTTGTTACTGCGCTTGTGGAGAGATGAAGATAGGAGACGCACTCCTTCCATCTACCTGTTGGGGAGGCGACCGTGACGTTGCGAGACGTGGCGATACTCACACGGCTTCCCATTCATGGGAGTCCGGTGTCTGGATCTGCGTTGGCCGATCCCCCCGGTTATGTAGCTCAGGTTCTCGGGGTTCAGCTAGGCCCAGACGATATCAGGGGCGACGGATTGAGGACCGGCTGGATACGCGACACTTTTCGTGTGTTGCCAGATGGTGCTGATGAGGCCACTGTTGAGAGACATGCTCGAGCGTACCTTTTTCTGCTCATCTCGGGTGTGTTGTTCGGTGGCAAGAGTGGCAGCCATTTACAGATCATTTACCTGCAACTGTTAGACCACGACTGGGAGCATATTCGTGGCTACAACTTGGGCAGTGCTTGTCTGGCGATGTTGTATCGCCATCTGTGTAGAGCATCCCATCGGGGTTCTCGTGAGATTAGCGGTCCGTTATTTTTGCTTCAGGTAACCTACCTATCTATTAACAATTTAATTCGGAAAGTTCTTACTTAGTTTACAATTAACCTAGTTTTGTGTGTTTGATGTCCAGTATTGGTCTTGGGAGCACATCCATGTAGGCAGGCCAGGTAGGCCTGCTATACATTGTCAGGGGCAGCAGGATCAGGACCAGCAGTATGAGAGGTACATTCCTCCACCACGCCCTTCCGCTGACGAGGCGTACGGTTGTAGATGGGCGGTCCCCAGACTGACATATGCGCATGCGGCGAGGGGCCTTCCGTACTACCGAGACGCCCTTGACCGACTCACCGAGTATTAGGTGATAACTTTAATTTATTTTGTAAACAATTATTTATTATGTATACTCTTAACATATTTAATATGCACTAACCTGTTTACTATATCACTTTGTATGTGTTATCGCAGATGACATGGGACCCGTATGAAGCTGATTTAGTTGCTGCCATGCCTCCACATCTGCTAGATCATCAGGCGCAGTGGCGTTCTAGGGTCCCCCTGATCTGTTTTGAGGTTGTGGAGAGTCACCTACCGGATCAAGTCATGCGACAGTTTGGACTACGCCAGCCTGTCTCCGAGCAGTGTGACACTAGTGCCTGGCTGCACCGCATTGACCGTCGGGGAAAGAGCGACAGGAACTGGCGGATGGAGCATGCCCAGTACATTGACTTGTGGCATCGACGGTTAGAGTTCGTCGTCACTAGTGACCCCATCCACGGCATTATGGATCCATACGATCCATACATGGAGTGGTACATGCGGATTACACGACGTTTCATCAACCCCAGCTACACGCCGCCATCCGCACATTACCATCCATTCTTTGACGTGATCAGGGGATATGTAAGTGTATTTGATTTACTTATTTTCATCAATTTTTAATTTGTATATCATTCAACTAACTCATCCATAATTACTGTAGGTGTTGGATATGACGGCGATGGTTGACGCACTGTCGGACGTCCTTCCAGGCATACCTAAGCCGCCCAAAGCACAGGTCGAGCGGGTGCGAGATATGGGCATAGCTACCCTGCAGAGATATGGTCACTCCTATCTCATCCACCCCCGGGACGATCATGGCGGCCACTCTAGTCACTCACAGTTCGAGGCTGGCCAGAGTAGCTGTGGGGGTGATCCTGCGTCATTCACGGGCGCAGAGGAGTACGTCATACGCAGTTTTGCGCCCCTACGTCATCCTGATGACCCATCGTCTAGCCAGCTGACTACGCCAGTACGCCTGAACCCATTTACCACGGTCCGTCACTACAGCCGTCGTCTCAGGCCGAGAGGCAACATACAGGATAGAGAACCGTTACACCAAATCGATGAGTCAGAATAGGATAGAATTATCTGATTTATTTGTTGTAATGACCTTCTCTAGTTTATTGTACATAACACTTACATTACATTATTATTTTAATAATTGGGTTTTGAATGAATTATGTCTTATTTGAACTTCACATTCCTTATTTGTGCATATTTGACTCATTTCGTTCAAAATAAATTGTTATGACCTGGTTTGTAAGTCGTTGGGTGCTTTAAAGTGGCTACGGAAGATTAAAATCCCCGGTGGAGGGTGTTGGTCGATGGGCGGTGGTGTGGTGGTGGTGTCGAGAGGCGTTGGAGGGCGGTGTGGATGGTGAAGTGGTGATGGTCGAAGCCGATGGGGATGGGAGGTGGTGGTTGATTGTGGTGGTGGAGGAGGAGGGTGGTGGTGGTGGAGGAGGGTAGTGGCGGTGGTGGATGTGGAGGAGGGTGGTGGAGGTGGTGGATGTGGAGGAGGAGGGTGGTGGAGGTGGTGGATGTGGAGGAGGGTGGTGGAGGTGGTGGATGTGGAGGAGGAGGGTGGTGGAGGTGGTGGATGTGGAGGAGGGTGGTGGAGGTGGTGGATGTGGAGGAGGAGGGTGGTGGAGGTGGTGGATGTGGAGGTAGTAGATGTGGAGGAGGAGGGTGGTGGAGGTGGAGGGTGGCTCTTTGGGCTGCTGCTTTTGGGGCTGCTGCTGCTGGCTTCAGCCAGCAGTTAAAACGCTGATTGAGGCAGCGTTTTATACTAAGGAATAAAACGCTGCCTCAGTCAGCGTTTTTTTGTTGTTAGTCTTTCACAAAAAACGCTGACTGAGGCAGCGTTTTTATGTATTTCCATTTTTTTTTTTTTTTTTGTAAATCTGTATTTCACAAAATACGAAATTTTTAAAAAAATAATAATAATAAAAGGGTTAAAACGCTGGCCGAGTCAGCGTTTTACCTCAGAAGCTCAGTTTCGTAAATAGTTTGGCCACGCGTCTAGATTGGTAAATTGTTTTTGTATTAAGCTTACTTTGGTAAAAAAATCCTGTGTAATACAGAGTTTTGGATCTTCTTTTTGTCAAATATTTTTTAATCCTGAAAATATCCTCTAAGCTAATATTGCATTCAAGTAAATTAAACTGTGACAGAGAGGGATAGAAAGAACACTACACTAACATGTATAGAGGAGCTGAGGAATATTAGCAACTGAAACATCACCTTAGCTTACTGAAGGTATAGCTTACAAGTTAACACTTTGTTTAATGCTAAGTTGATATGTGGTAATATTCTCTTTGGAAATAGTAATACTACTCTGTTTTGAAATAATAATGATTACAATTTGATTTTAGCATTAATCATAATTTTCACTTGGACCGTGTGATCAATATGTCAAAGCTAAGGTAAATATAACCATGCGTAATGAATTAATATGCCTTAGTAAATATAACCATGTTGTGAGAAGTTAAAGGAGGAGGATGGCAAGTAGGTGAGAGATGACGTGGGTCGAGGGTAGAAAGCGAAACCACTTTTAAGACTTCATTTTATGAGGAAAAATATTTTATGAATTATCAGAGTGACAGAAGGAGTTAGTAAAGAGGGGTTAAGTGGGAAAATGCTTTTGGAAAGAGAGGGAGATGGCGGAAGTTTAGAAAGTTAAGGAGACAAGTAATTGCATAATCAGAAGATCTATAAAAGAAATGACTATAAAAGGTAAGAATAAGTAGAATTGGGAGAACAAGACCTAAAGGAAATTCAAGGTAGGAGAAAGGAGCACCAGAAAACACAATGAAAGGGGATAACCAATATGTATAATTGAGAG